CAGGCTTAGAAAACCGTGCCCCTACAAAAACTGCACCTCAAGTTGCGCCGCAAGAACAGCATCCCCATGCACAATATGGTAAACAATCCAATATCGAAGCTATGATAGCGTCGATGCAACAAAGTATGATGAATTTCATGACTTTCATGCAAAACACAATGCAAGAACTCATGCGAAATCAAAATACGCTGCTCAACCTGCTTGCTACTCATCAAACAAGATAATGATCTTACTTAAAATAGCCCTCTGGAATGCAAATGACATTCCTCGCCACAAACTAGAGCTGTCAAAATTTCTTAAGGACAAGGAAATTGACATAATGCTCCTTGCTGAAACACACCTAACTAATAGATATAATTTTGACATTTCGGGATATACCTTTTATTGCACGAATCATCCAGATGGAAAGGCGCATGGCGGAACTGGTATTTTTGTCAGAAACCGGATTAAACACCATCATTTGACTGGAATTGCCGAGAATTATCTGCAAGCAACATCAATATGCGTACAAACAAAGCAAGGCGATATTACGCTGTCAGCGGTTTATTGTCCCCCACGTTTCACGATAACAGAAAAACAGTTTATGGATTTCTTCAGTTCGCTGGGAGAGCGCTTCCTTGCTGCAGGTGATTATAATGCGAAGCACCCTCACTGGGGCTCACGCTTGTCCAACCCTAAAGGCAAGCAATTATATAACGCGCTTATATGTAGAAGAAACAAACTCGATTACGCTTCTCCTGGAAAGCCTACATATTGGCCGGCAGACCCGCAAAAGTTGCCAGATTTGATTGACTTTGCGGTGACAAGGAAAATTCCTCGCGGCCTTATTAGTACAGAATCAGTTGCAGATCTCTCATCAGACCACTCACCTGTACTTTTCACCTTTTGGCATCAGCCGCAAGAAAAAGAGTCACCCTATATGCTCACGACAAGGGCTAGAAATTGGTTAAAGTATAAAATATATATCAGTGCGCATATAGACCTCGATCCAAATTTAGATACGCCGACCGATATTGAAAACTCCACAGCCGCTCTTGAATCTACACTTAGAGCAGCCGCTAGCATTTCCACACCCCAGAAAGGTTATGTGCAAAATAAAAAATATAATTTAACCAATAGGAAAATTGAAATGCTTGTCTTGGAAAAACGACGCCTACGACGGATATGGCAGACTCATATATCACCAGCATCAAACCACTGCTCACGGCGGCCACACATGCACTGACGAGAGCCCTCAAGAACGAAGAACAGTACGCACAGTACCGGTACATCCAAAAGCTCTCACCGACTAGCACAAAGCACTCGTTATGGAAAGCACACCACAAGCTAAATGCGCCAATAGAGACTGAAATGCCAGTACGGGACCACAATGGCAAATGGGCTCGGAGTGACGCAGAAAAAGCAAACACCTTTGCTTCTCATCTAAAAAATGTTTTTAGGCCAAACCCCGCAACTAATAATTTTCAACTTCCACCCGTACCCAATGTGTCAAAATTTGAGCCGCTGAAATTTGTACCTGAAGAAATTTCAAAAGTAATTAAGGATCAACTGCAACCAAATAAGGCCCCAGGGCACGACTTAATAACCCCAAAAATGATTATTGAGCTACCAAATTGTGCTGTACTTTGCATCTGTATGCTATTTAACGCAATCACTAAACATTGTCATTTCCCTCACCAATGGAAAAAGTCGACTATTGTGATGATACCACAGCCCGGAAAGGACAAAACGCAGCCATCTTCATATAGGCCCATCAGCCTGCTACCGTGTATGTCGAAATTATTCGAAAAAAACTTCTTATGCTGCGCATCTCCCCACATCTGCAAGCCCGCAATATAATACCACTTCACCAATTTGGCTTCAGGGAAAAACATGGAACAATCGAGCAGGTAAATCGCATAACAACCGAAATCCGAACAGCGTTTGAAAAGAGGGAATATTGCGCTGAAATATTTCTTGACGTCGCCCAGGCATTTGACCGCGTCTGGCTAGATGGTCTTATGTATAAAATACAAATGCTACTCCCACAAAGCACACACAAACTGCTTAAGTCATACCTTTATAATCGAAAGTTTGCAGTTCGATGTAACACCACCATTTCTGAAGCCCATGCAATCGAAGCTGGAGTGCCACAAGGCAGTGTCCTTGGCCCGATGTTGTATGTCTTATACACCGCGGATATTCCTACAAACGACCGCCTGATAATGTCCACTTTTGCCGATGACACTGCCGTAATCAGTCGCTCCAAGTGTCCTCTACAAGCAACTGTGCTCCTAGGCAATCATATGGAAGCTGTTGCCAATTGGCTCGCAAACTCGCGAATAAAGGTTAACGAGCAAAAATGTAAGCAAGTTACATTTACACTGAATAAGAGTAACTGTCCGCCCTTGACTTTAAACAACGTACAAATACCACAAAGCAATCATGTCACGTACCTAGGGGTCCACCTGGACAGGCGACTTACTTGGCGAAACCACATAGTGGCTAAAAGGGCTCATCTCAAGCTGAAGGCTAATTCTCTCCACTGGCTTATTAACTCTCGCTCACCCCTGAGTCTGGAGTATAAAGTGCTTATTTACAATACAGTTTTAAAACCGATATGGACCTATGGATGTGAGTTATGGGGAAACGCGAGCAGCAGCAACATCGAAATCCTTCGTCGTGCGCAATCTAAAATCCTTCGAACAATCACCGGAGCATCTTGGTATATGCGAAATGAGAACATTCACCGCGACTTAAGAATACCAGAAGTACGAACCGAAATAGAACAACGGAAGACGAAATATGTATCGAAGCTTTTAGCGCACCCAAATCATGTAGCAAGATCTTTATTGCGTGTCAACAGGACCTCAAGACTACGTAGGAATGACTTACCAGCCCATTCGTAATCTTTTCTTAGGGCCAGTTAAGAAAATACTCATCCCAACTAGGGGATGTAAATAAAGTGAATAGATTAAGATTCGAAAACTTATTGTTAGGCTCTTAGGCAGGGCAGATTCAATAAATAAAAAAAAATAATAAAAAAATTACTCTTAGTGTGTTCTATGCAATAAGTAGCATGAATTCAGTAGTTTTGCGATATGACAAGTAATTCAAGGAAATTAAGAACATGATAATTATGAATACAGATTGCAAAGTTTCTAGTGCTGTGCAGCCGTAGGTCGTTTCCGAAGTAATTTTCTGCGTAGAACTCCAACTCTATCTTAGAATTGCGCCAAGTTGTTGAGTTTTTTGCGTTTAATTTCACGAAAAACGGCTTTAATGGCTTATTTTGTTTGCTCTATGCTATTTAGTACTATTCTTACCCTTCAAATGTTAGATTCGAGGACTCGGCATTTGGTAGAATAATAGTAGTACTAGAAAAATAGGCGAAACAATTCCAATAGATTTCTTATTATTTAATCGGAAAATCTTCTTCTTTCAGCTTCTTATTTCGCTTCTTTTGAGTTCGTTCCTTTTTGAAATAATATAATTCTCGAGTTTTTTATTTTTCTATGTAATTCTTATATTCTCAGTTTATATAAGTTAGAAAAAATAACAGTTTTAACTATGGGACAATAACACGTTGAATAGCTTCCAATGTTGCTTGTAAAATGAGCCATATCTTTAACTAATTATAAAAAAAAGGTTACCTAAAAATTAAATTAGTTCAAAAGACTGTTACGTTACAAATAGCTTTCCACCGAAAACATATTGGTAATGAAGAGTATATGGAACTATTTTATTTTACTGTGAAATAAGGCCGAAAATGCTCGAAAAAACTATACTTTCCCTTTTTTTAGTTTGGTGGATTCCACGCCAAAAAACTTTTTAATATTTTGGTCTGTTACATTACATTACAAAATACTGCCGACTTGATTTTCATATAGAAAGCTAATCGCTGATTTTTTTGTCGAAAACTTTTTTTTATTAAGTTCAAAATAATACAAGGCAAGCGAAGAGAGGCAAGTATAATGCAAAAAAGTGGTGGACCTTAAATATAAACTACCCGTTAGTTTTATGTTGTGCTTTTTTAATTTTCGTTTATTTAAAGGTGTCTCAAGACTAAGTGAATTTTACTGTTTGAGAGAAGGAGATTCGTGTTAATATTGATGTTATCCGATACCGTAGAATATGTATGACCCAGATATAATCCAAAATCTGCGAAACCTGAGAAAAAAATGTTTTCCCCTTGGTTTCGTTTTCGGCAATTTGGGCCATATATATCTATATATTTCATGATTCAATGATCGGATCTAAACCAAATTAGTATGGGACCACCTCTGAATTATCGAAATCGGTTGACGTGGTCCAAAGTTATGCGGTAACATACATAAAAAAAAAAAAAAAATATTCCGACGAACTGATAACCTCCTCCTTTTTTGGAAGTCGGTTAAAAACTGGAACACATCCCACCGAAAACCCTGCACATTAAATTTAAACCAAATATCTCGCTTAAAAGTAATCTTAGCATCGCATCAGAATGCTTCAGTAAAGTATGGCATAACAGTTTAGTTTCGACGTACATATGTCAAGTTAGCCCTACACTTTTCGAAATTTTAAAAGTTAACTACAGCATTTTTTTGTAGTTGTAAACATTTTTTTTCTTATTTTATTTTAAATTTTTAAAATAAAAAAAGAGCTTTCGTCTGTTAGAAAAAGATTGTATGTAGTAGAGATGGGCACGGGCCGGGCTTTCCACGGATACGGGCCGGAAAATTTGACTTCGAGCTCGTGCGTGCATATGCGTGCAGTGAATTTCCAACAAAGCACGAAAAAGGTCGGTAAATTAATAATAATAATAGATTGGCGCTTACACATATGTTAGGCTGGTATGGTCACTTGCGAATCGAATAAATTTGGCGAAGCGAACGGTTTGGCGAACACACCTAAAATTTGCATTGTGAATGGCGAATGAACTTTTTCGCCGGACATGCGTCGTTGCCATTCAAACAAATTAAATGAGTTCATCCTCATTTCACGTTTCTGTCATTTATACTTCGAATTATTTTTTATTACAAACTAAAATTTGAAAAGCAAAATGTTTTATAACGTAGATTTATATTTTGAGGATAGTTATAATGTTGAACCGCGAGCTAACCTTCTTCGTCAGCGGCGTTTTATTAGAGATTACTCTAATCCTATGGAGCTGCCGTCCACAGTGTAAGTATCCAGTGCAGATAGGTTATTCAATGAAACATGAAAAATTTATGCATATATGAATATGTATTTATAGATTTACAGCGAATTTTCGGCTAAGCAAGGACGCTTTTATGTATGTGCTGGACAAAATCAAGGACAAATTTAATTGCCGCCTGTCCTCGTCTGTAACGCCAATGCTAAAATTGTGTTGCGCACTGAGATTTTTTGCGCATGACAGTTATCAGCAAGCTGTAGGAAATGAATTTCAATTGGGTCTTGCGCAACCTACAGTTTCGCTCATTTTAAAGGAGGTATTGCCCATTTTAGAAAGAGAAATTTGCAGTGCTTCGATAATCACAGAAGTGACAGAAGAAGAGAAGCAACAGGCAAGGAGCAAATTTTTCTCCAGATGAGGAATACCCAACGTAATTGGCTGTGTTGACGGAACACATATTGCGATTTATGCCCCCACCGCAAATAGACACCTCTATCTAAATAGAAAAGGCTTTTTTAGTATAAATGCTATGATTGTAAGTTTTTAAGAAATGAATACAGCAACACTGATAAACAAATTGTATATTAAAGGCTTGCGATCATGACATGAATATCCGGTTTGTGGATGCTAGATATGCTGGTTCTACACATGATTCGTTCGTGTGGAACAATAGTTCATTAAAGAAAGACTTATTTGGAGAATATGCATCAAAGTGGCGATCATAACTCTATTTATTTAGGTACTTTAAATTTGTTACATCGGCACAAAATTAATGTAAATACTATTTTAAAACAAAAACTACTTATTTATAGGTGATTCCGGATACCCACTTAGTCCTTTACTAACACCCTTCCGCCATGCAGACTCTGGAACTAGGGAGTCAATTTTTGATAAGAAGCACGCGAAAGCTAGAAACGTCGTTGAACGTACGATCGGAGTTTTGAAATGTCGCTTTCGATGTCTCCTGAGTGATCGAAAAATGCGCTACGATCCTGCTAAAGCAACATCCATTATAAATATTTGTTGCGCTTTCCACAATATTTGTAAGAAATTTAGAATCAGTGATCCAGAGGAAGCTGAAATTTTTATTGACACCGTTGTATCATCAGAGCTAATCAGTGAAGATGCCAATAATACATCAGGAGAGCGCCGCAGAAGGCAAATAGCTGATGTTTTGTTGTAAAATTAATTGCAGTTCGGTTTATTGAATAAATTCAAAATCATTTACCTTACTTTTGTTCTTTTTATTTCATTTTATACTTCAGAATTCTTTATTATATAAATGTTAAATTAAACCTAATTGGTTCTATGCTCTTAAACTTAATAAAAATCACAAGTTGAATTCAGTACCTTCATCCAATATTAAACTTAAAATTAATTCATCACATGCTTTTATATATTAAAATGAAAAATCACAAATTAAATTCAGCCGTTAAAAAAATATTAAACTTAAAACTAGTTCATCACATTTTTTTATAAATAAAAATAAAAAAATCACAAATTCAATCAACATAAAGAAAAGATGGATATGAATCTAAAGAGTAGGAACTAACCCAAGATGGAAAAACAAAAAGTGTTGTATATCCAAATGTGTTGGATTAAGATTTAAAATAAAGAATCAAAAATTTTGAAATAAAACAAATGATAAATTTTCATATAGATAAATTCCAGGACTTTTCATTCGTTTTTCAATATTTGGTGTAGAGAAGCACACCGGGGTACTGCTAGTATAAATATGTAAGTATACACGCAAACATTTTCTATAATTACTGGTATAGAAAAACAATGAACTCTGAAAAGAATTAATATTTTATTCAACAAAAAAACTTTTTGTGTAACACATAAAGCATATTAAGTGCCACCAACTTACCTATTTTAAAGTATAGTTAAATCGTTAACGGATAAGATAACGGCCCAGAAACGTAAGGAACATACATAGACATATGTTTACTTGCCTTAAAGGAAAGGCGTTCGCTTTATGAGCGAAGAGTTAAATTCATGAAAATCATAAACAAAATTTGAATGTCAATGATGAATAAATTTCGAAAAGGGCTAAAAAAAGGGCTAAGGGCAATTTCAAATTTTTGTGGCCAAAAAAAGGATTTGGTAGCCAAATTTAGCCACCAAAGGGCTAAAACGGCAACACTGCTGAAAACATCAGTACTGCAACGTTATGTGTGCTTTTGCACAAGCGGAAAGAACTTCTTGAGATGTTTTTTTATTGACTTTTTTCTCATATCAAACAAACTTCATAAGTTCTCACTTAAAAGGGTTAACAGAAAAGACAAATGAAAGAAAAAATTATGATAATAAGGCTGTGTGCGAGTTGACCTAAATTTTAGTACCTACACTAATATTCCACTGGAAATTTCCAGCACTGCTACAATTTAGGAAAACAGCTTATAAAATCGTGCGAGTTCGTTTGACAACCTAAATTGTTTGTTTTGGAATTTGAATTTGTTTGCTTTTAATAAATATATCTATAAAATGAATAATTTTGTGGTAGCTTTGGGACTATTTAACAATATAATAAATTTGCAACAGAAACGGAGAATGCTCCATCCATCGAATTACACATATACTTATCTGAATGCAAAAATCAAATAAATTTATACTTACATCTTTCTGAATATTTTCTTTTTTGTGCCCTAGCAATGATAAAAATTATTTAAAACATCAAAAAATCGTTGTTCACTTAATCGCTCGCTAAGATATATTTGACTGTTCAATTTAGGTTGCTCGCAGAAAATCTAAATTGTTCCTATTCACTGCGTTACCGACACTTTCCAGTGATTTAGGATTTTTCTCTATTTAGGTAGCAATTTAGACGTACTCGCACACAGCCTAAATTACCAAATAAGTGGTACCGAAATAGAATTGTTGGCTGGCACACTTTATATTATTTTACTATGCTTATGGTCGCCATTTCAGTACCTTCCGAAAACTTGTTTCGAAAGCTTATCAAAAGACCAAAAAAACTAGGATTTGTAACTATTTAAATCAATAAATACATTTCACTGTGAGTTAATACTTCAACATTTATCGAAACTGGTGATATTTTCATTCGATGTTTTTATACGAACATCGATATGAATCGATGCTATATTTCGATGCATCAAATGGAAAAAACTTCGATGTATTTTTTTGACTTGCATCCCTAACCTGCTTCGTCTAACTTAGGGTTTACACCGGACAATACTGTCATGGCAATAATGTCAAAATGATGTGTTTGTTGTAATATGAATTCGCCTTGTTTACAACAAACACATCATTTTGACATTATTGTCCGGTGTAAACCCTAAGTAACGTTTGCATTAGGGATGTCAGTGGCAAAAATACATTGATGTTTTTCTTTGATTCGATGCATCGAAATGTACATCGGTATTTTCCGATGCATCGAAGGGCATACATCGATGCATCGATTTGCATAGGATTTTTCAGATAATGTTTCACAACAAATTAGGAGCGTTCCTTATCTCCCAGAAATAGTCAGAAAAAGTCCGAAATAGTCAGATTTAGTCCAGAAAGCGTTCCTTAACTCGGAAATGACTGCAACAATGAGAGAGCAACAGTCAGTGAGAGTGACTCTCATCAGTCCGAAGTAGTCAGATTTAGTCAGAAGAATTTTTTCTGGCAAAATCCTGAAAAGTGTCAAACTCAACTGAATTTAAATTAACGGAAATTAAAGAATACGCAAAAAGTGAGAATAATCTAAAAAATAAAAGAAAAAGAATTGAAATTGGAAGGAGGCAAAAAATAATTGATATAGTAAGTGTTTATTGTGCTAGTGCTTGTGTGAATGTGTTTTGTACATACATTTCTGTTCTTATTTGACGTTATATTTGTTGTTGCCATTCTTTGGACTAAAAATTTGGGTTTTTGCGTTCCTATACTTTTCCTGTTATTCTCTTTTAGTGAGCGCATTTTGCTTACGCTCTGGCATTTTGACACTTTTCAGATTTTAGTCCAAAAAGATAAGGAATGAACCTAATATGTTATTAGCAAAATTCTACAAAATTTTAAATAAATTCCTGCAACTGAGCTAATTATGTTTCTAACGGAACTTTTTGGAGCCGTTTCAATTTTGTGGTCAAAGTCGAACGAGGGTTCATGTACTAGAGATGTCAGTTTTCAAAAAACATCGATGCATACATGCATACATCGACTATTTATACATCGCGTGGAAAATTTTCGATGCATCGAAGCAAAACATCGATATTTTCGATGTATCGAGTTTGCATGCAACCAAATAAAATTTGTTGCTTTTCTACTTTCTGTTGACGCTCGGATTGTATACGTGTAAGAGCCGATTGTGTGCATGTAAAAAGTCTAATATATATAGTTCGTTTCCCAGGAAAGTGTTTGGCAGGCATTGATTTAGATACTTAATATCACCAGGAGGTACTCGCCCAGCTCTTTCTGGAAGAACCTTTCGACGAAGTAAGGTTTTCTCCGTTTTAACCAGTAAGTATTTTTGTACATTATGTACAAATTTTGATATGGGTTTTTAAAATTTGATTTTTTATGTTGCAGCAAAAGTAAGTGGTGGGTTACGCATGACCAAATTTTTGTGGACCAAAATCTGGAAATTTTTAGCGCATCGAATCCGAACATACAATTTTGTTTTTTAGAATAAAAATACATTTTTTAATACAGTTTAATTTTAGACCAAACAAAGAGAAAAATTATGGAAAAAGTATATTCACACAATAGACATATACGGAGGCGAGAATGTAAATAGGGAAGTCATCTTGATAAGTTTTGGCTACTTTTCTTTGTTTACAAAATGTTTATTATTCTTTTATATCTAAAAAAAACTTGTATATCAAAATGTCAAACTTTGTAGAACATTTACAAAAATCTTACGAATTTTAACAAATACTGATCAAAATTTAACTTTTTAATCAGATTTTAGCCCATTAAATTTTAGGATTAAAAAGGGCAAGTTCGAACTTTTTGGCAATTTTTTGTTCGCATTTTCTTACGTACAAAGTATGTTCGAAATTTTTTTCGTATGCAGAAAATGAGCAACATCTTCCACAAAAAAAACTCCAAAAATCAACGGTACTAGCTAGTTAAAATTAACACTCCATAATAAAATGGAATGGGCTACAAAACTGCATACTCAGAATTTTTCTAATTTTTATACATAGTTTGATTTACATGTTTTTGTTATATAGCGAGGTACACTACAAATAATGCGAAAATGTCTCTTCCCTATTTACATATATTTTTGCCACTGTATCTACAGCTTATATTTTTCATATCCATGAATTTTTTGAAGGAATTTGTAACATTTTTCAAAATTTCACTGAATTCAAGTTAGTCGTTTCATTTAAAAAAAAAACTTTAAAAACAACTTAAAATTTTGTAACATTTTTTAAAATATCACTGAATTCAAGTTAGTCGTTTCATTAAAATAAAACTTTACAAACAATTATTAAAAGCTTAAGAAAAATTTGGCTAGAATGATTACTGCAATATAGCGAGAGTACCAGTTTGACAGAATAAAAATAACCAAAGATCATAGAAAATAAGGATGCTGGGCTATGTTTGTGGCTCCCCTATATTCTATGTTCTTTGTGATAACGAAAATTCTGCCACGTTTGTACGAACAATTGTTTTTGGTCCAGAGTACCGGAGGACTCTTGTTAAATTAATAAATAAATCACTGAAAATCGGGATTTAATCGGTACAAATATGAAAAATCAGGACACTTATACGTACCTACTTTTAAAAAATAGTCAGCGGGACAATTTTCTCAAAATCGGTACTGTCCCGCCAAAATCGGCACGAATGGTCGCCGTATACATACATAACTTCAAATTACTAAAAAATCGCCTGTTTTTATTCCATTTGGATAGAGTATTGAACCCTATGAATTGTTTAGAAGCGGTTGCGGTGGTGGTGTAGCAAAAGTAAGTGGGTTTTATTTATATATATGTGCATGTACATACATAATTTCATATTGGGAACAACAGGTCCGACGAGAGGGAGGGGGAAAAGGGGTGAATCCCCCGGGCCCGAATTATCAGAACCATAACTTGTTATTATTTTATTTACAATGTATTTTCTCCTTCATTATAGGCTTTTATTATAAATATATTCCGATTCGAGCTGATTGTTTCTGACCACTGTTACCAACTTGGTGCTTTCCGCACTAAATTTAGTGCTTTCCTTTATTCAAAACCTTC